TCAATAAGCAAAAGGGCCAGGGTACTGAAATTCGGCCTGTAGCATGCTGGGATGAAGGATTACCAAGTTAGTTCAAATGAATGACCTTGACCAACTTTCAAAGGTCAAAGGGGTCAAATGTCATAAAATCTTCAAACGACTTCTTCTCAATAACCAAAAGGCCCAGGGTACTGAAATTGGGCCTGTAGCATGCTGGGATGAAGGACTACCATATTAGTTCAAATGAATGACCTTGATCCACTTTCAACCTAATGTCCTTGTTCGACAATCAAGGTCAGAGGCGTCATATATTTAAATCTTTTAATAGGTTCTTATGAAATCTTAAGATTACAAGTGTTAGATTAATAACAGGCGAGCGATGCAGGCCCATTGGGCATCTTGTTGATATTTATCTTCAGATAAACTTTTATTGAAGCATTGAATTGGATGTAGAATCATTATTTATACTCTGAAGTATGTTGTTTGGTATCTACATAGCACCTATTACTATTTACAGAGGGCAAACAGCTTTACATAAGGCAGCTTGGTACCAGCGGAGGACAATCTGTTATATGTTGGTGGAGACTGGAGCTTCACTCACTCGTACAGATTATCAGGTTTGTCATCTTACCTCTACTTAACATTAATCATACAGACCAACAGGTACATCAGCCCTCTGTTTATTGTAGAGACAAACAAGTACAACAGCCCTCTGTTTATTGTAAAGACCAACAAGTACAACAGCCCTCTGTTTATTGTAAAGCCCAACAGGTACATCAGCTCCCTGTTTATTGTAAAGACCAACAGGTACACCAGCCTTATGTTTATTGTAAAGACCAACAAGTACATCAGCCCTCTGTTTATTGTAAAGACCAACAGGTACATCAGCCCCCTGTTTATTGTAAAGACTAAAAGGTACACCAGCCCTCTGTTTATTGTAAAGACCAACAGGTACACCAGCCTTATGTTTATTGTAAAGACCAACAAGTACATCAGCCCTCTGTTTATTGTAAAGACCAACAGGTACACCAGCCCCCTGTTTATTGTAAAGACCAACAGGTGAATCAGCCCTCTGTTTATTGTAAAGACCAATAGGTACATCAGCCCTCTGTTAATTGTAAAGACCAACAGGTACATCAGCCCTCTGTTTATTGTAAAGACCAACAGGTACATCAGCCCCCTGTTTATTGTAAAGACTAACAGGTACACCAGCCCTCTGTTTATTGTAAAGACCAACAGGAACATCAGCCCTCTGTTTATTGTAAAGACCAGCAGGTACACCAGCCCCCTGTTTATTGTAAAGCCCAACAGGTACATCAGCTCCCTGTTTATTGTAAAGACCAACAGGTACTCCAGCCTTATGTTTATTGTAAAGACCAACAGGTACACCATCCTTATGTTTATTGTAAAGACCAACAGGTACATCAGCCTCCTGTTTATTGTAAAGCCCAACAGGTACATCAGCTCCCTGTTTATTGTAAAGACCAACAGGTACATCAGCCCTCTGTTTATTGAAAGACCAACAGGGACATCAGCCCTCTGTTTATTGTAACGACCAACAGGTACATCAGCCCTCTGTTTATTGTAAAGACCAACAGGGACATCAGCCCTCTTTTTATTGTAACGACCAACAGGTACATCAACCCTCTGTTTATTGTAAAGACCAACAGCTACATCAGCCCTCTGTTCATTGTAAAGACCAACAGGTACACCAGCCTCATGTTTATTGTAAAGACCAACAGGTACATCAGCCTTCTGTTTATTGTAAAGCCCAACAGGCACATCAGCCCTCTGTTTATTTTAAAGACCAACAGGCACATCAGCCCCCTGTTTATTGTAAAGACCAACAGGTACATCAGCCCTCTGATTATTGTTAAGACCAACAGGCACATCAGCCCTCTGTTTATTGTAAAGACCAACAGGCACATCAGCCCTCTGTTTATTGTAAAGACCAACAGGCACATCAGCCCTCTGTTTATTGTAAAGACCAACAGGTACATCAGCCCTCTGTTTATTGTAAAGACCAACAGGTACACCAGCCCCCTGTTTATTGTAAAGACCAACAGGTACATCAGCCTCCTGTTTATTGTAAAGACCAACAGGTACACCAGCCCCCTGTTTATTGTAAAGACCAACAGGTACATCAGCCTCCTGTTTATTGTAAAGACCAACAGGTACATCAGCCCTCTGTTTATTGTAAAGACCAATAGGTACATCAGCCCTCTGTTTATATTGCTATAGATCTGATAAGTGTTTATTGTAAAGACCAACAGGTACATCAGCCCTCTGTTTATATTGCTATAGATATTTACTTATCAGACCTTCCACAATCCTGAAATCATTTTTTGTGATTTTTGAAAATCACATATTTTTGTAATTTCAGGGAAATACACCACGAATGCAGGCTTTAAGGGCAGATGACAGAGACCTATCTGTGTACTTAGAAAGTAAGTATAGGGTTACTATACAGTGAAGGGTTAATGTAAAGGACAGAAAGGTCACAGACATAAAATGACAAATTATTGACAGGTGCCCAGAACGATAATATCACCCTATAGGACTAGAGAGATAATACCACCCTATAGGACTAGAGAGATAATACCACCCTATAGGACTAGAGAGATAATACCACCCTATAGGACTAGAGAGATAATACCACCCTATAGGACTAGAGAGATAATACCACCCTATAGGACTAGAGAGATAATACCACCCTATAGGACTAGAGAGATAATACCACCCTATAGGACTAGAGAGATAATACCACCCTATAGGACTAGAGAGATAATACCACCCTATAGGACTAGAGAGATAATACCACCCTATAGGACTAGAGAGATAATACCACCCTATAGGACTAGAGAGATAATACCACCCTATAGGACTAGAGAGATAATACCACCCTATAGGACTAGAGAGATAATACCACCCTATAGGACTAGAGAGATAATACCACCCTATAGGACTAGAGAGATAATACCACACTATAGAAGTATTCATACCACTCATGTGACTTGAGAGTAAATACCACTCATATGACTTAAGAATTAATATACCTGAAGTAATTGACTATGAGAGTAAATACCACTCATGTGACTTAAGAATTAATATACCTGAACTAATTGACTATGAGAGTAAATAACCATGTCATTAAGAATGAAAAACGCTCTGGACTTGGAGAGTGATTTCCACCACATGTAACTTGAGAATAAATAACATTTAATGTGACTAAAAGTGATCACCAATCCATATGATATCACCCCATTGACAGTGAGGAATTATCACTATATTTGACTAAATAGATCATATCACCCAATTTTACTAGATATATAGTATCTCCTCGTTGGACTGGGGAGAAATGGTTTTAATCAGACTATTTTGCTATTTCAGGCCAGGAACACTTTCAGCTGGTTGTGTCTGAGGACCAGGAGACGGCAGTGTGATTCCCAGTAACTTTATTTGAGCCTCATGTTGTTTCCATATGCTCAAACTCCAGACACAACTCTATGTGATAATGAACAAATCCTTTAGTTTTGTTTTTCCATATGAAGAAAGTTTATATTTGATGTCATGCACTAGTTTTCTATCTGTGGTAAACAATTAAAATATCATGATTGCTTGGCAAGACAAATATTATATTATAGGACTTTCTTTCTGATAAGAGTCACAGTTATTGCATTATGATGTCTAGGGCAGGAAAAGTGGCACAGTGATGTGATGTCTGACAGGTGTCACAGTGTGTTGTGATGTCTGACAATTGTCACAGTGCGTTGTGATGTCTGACAGGTGTCACCGTGTGTTGTGATGTCTGACAGGTGTCACCGTGTGTTGTGATATCTGACAGGTGTCACAGTGTGTTGTGATATCTGACAGGTGTCACCTTGTGTTGTGATGTCTGACAGGTGTCACCTGGTGTTGTGATATCTGACAGGTGTCACAGTGTCTTGTGATGTCTGACAGGTGTCACAGTGTGTTGTGATGTCTGACAGGTGTCACAGTTCGCTGTGATGTCTGACAGGTGTCAGTGTGTTGTGATGTTTGACAGGTGTCACCGTGTGTTGTGATATCTAAGTCACAGGATGTTGTGATGTCTGACAGGTGTCACAGTGTGTTGTGATGTCTGACAGGTATCACAGTGTGTTGTGATGTCTGACAAGTATCACAGTGTTGTGTGATGTCTGACAGGTGTCACAGTGTGTTGTGATGTCTGAAAGGTGTCACGGTGTGTTGTGATATCTGACAGGTATCACAGTGTGTTGTGATGTCTGACAGGTGTCACCTTGTGTTGTGATGTCTGCCAGGTGTCACAGTGTGTTGTGAGATCTTACAGCTGTCGCGGTGTGTTGTGATATCTGACAGGTGTCACAGTTCGTTGTGAGATCTTACAGGTGTCACAGTGTTGTGTGATGTCTGACAGGTGTCACAGTGTGTTGTGATGTCTGAAAGGTGTCACAGTGTGTTGTGATATCTGACAGGTATCACAGTGTATTGTGAGATATTACAGGTGTCACAGTTCGTTGTGATGTCTGACAGGTGTCACCTTGTGTTGTGATGTCTGACAGGTGTCACAGTGTAGTGTGATGTCTGACAGGTGTCACCGTGTGTTGTGATATCTGACAGGTGTCACCTTGTGTTGTGATGTCTGACAGGTGTCACAGTGTGTTGTGAGATATTACAGGTGTTGCTGTGTGTTGTGATGTTTGACAGGTGTCACAGTGTGTTGTGATGTCTGACAGGTGTCACCGTGTGTTGTGATGTCTGACAGGTGTCACCATGTGTTGTGATGTTTGACAGGTGTCAGTGTGTTGTGATGTCTGACAGGTGTCACAGTGTAGTGTGATGTCTGACAGGTGTCATGCTGTGTTGTGATGTCTGACAGGTGTCACAGTGTGTTGTGAGATATTACAGGTGTCACAGTGTAGTGTGATGTCTGACAGGTGTCACAGTGTATTGTGATGTCTGACAAGTGTCACACTGTGTTGTGATGTCTGACAGGTGTCACAGTGTAGTGTGATGTCTGACAGGTGTCACAGTGTGTTGTGATGTCTGACAGGTATCACAGTGTATTGTGATGTCTGACAAGTGTCACACTGTGTTGTGATGTCTGACAGGTGTCACAGTGTATTGTGATGTCTGACAGGTGTCACAGTGTATTGTGATGTCTGACAGGTGTCACAGTGTATTGTGATGTCTGACAGGTGTCACAGTTTGTCAGTATGTGAGGTTGAGACATGTGTTAGATCATTTAGTTCAAGTCATTACAATCCTTCTGATTTTATATGACATCTTCTAAAGAATCGTGATGTGTGTATGAGATGTCTGTTATAATATTGCTATGTTTTCTGCGAGTGTCAAAGTATTGTGATGTCCCAGCTTAATGTAATATTTTGACGTCTCAACGGGACATCTGTTTTATTATTGTGATATCTCAGCAAATGTGTGACCTTAATTTGCACCTCCTATGCACTTTGTCAAATGCCCAATCAAGTGGCCAGGAGCCTCAATGTTACGCAATAGATGGGCGCTTATTTTATCCTTAGGTTGAAATCACTCTATGGTGTGGATCATCTGTAGTGTAACATTAAAATACAACTGAATTCCATAGGCGTGTCTTGTTGTGTATACACTGCGTCATTCAAAACACAAGCTTTCTCTTTACCTTGAGGAGTCAGAATAGTGTAAATAGAGGCGGGCAAGTTTCTGTACTTTTTTTCCTGGTATAAGGTGGTCAGTAGGCCTACAACAAAAGTATATTATTTTCACTATGTATAAAAAGAATATACTTTATTATAATGAAACAAGTAAGCTCAACTTATACATGTCTTAATCTCTCTTGGTGTAGGATGTTAGCACATTGGGGGGGGGTCTCATTGTTGGAGGAAACAGGGGTACCCGGAGAAAACAACCCATGTGGTTGAGCAGGAGACCCAATACCTTTGTCACATCCCATCTTGGAATTAAACCCTGGCCGCCTTGATGAAATGCAAGTGTGCTATCCACTGCACCACCCGACCACCCATTTATCAGACTAAATAACAGCAGAGTTTTCATCCTTCAGAGATACCAATTTGGAGATCTCTCATAAGTCAGTTTTTCAGTCTGAATGATTTAGCCTATCCTTTAAACGAGTCCTACTACAGACCTAGGTTTAAACTATGAACAAATAACAGTCAAACCAAAGGCCAAACTTCTACGAACAACAGAACAAACTATATACCAATCAAATCAAACTATTGACCAAAAAAAGACCAAATATACTTTAACTTAACAGACTTAACTAGACCAAGTTAGTGACCAACACATACCAAACTTACTACTTCAACTGAGGTACACCAAATTATAGATTACACTAAACTAAACTACGGACTGAACTGAAGACAGTAACAGACTCATTTTACTTTCAAGTAATGGACACATGTCCCTGTAGTAACAATGACAGACAAATGATACCGTTAGTAACAATGACAGACAAATGTTACCATTAGTAACAATAACAGACAAATGTTACCTTTAGTAACAATGACAGACAAATGTTACCTTCAGTAAAAATGACAGACAAATGTTACCTTCAGAAACAATGACAGACAAATGTTACATTCAGTAAAAATGACAGACAAATGTTACCTTCAGAAACAATGACAAACAAATGTTACCTCTAGTAACAATGACAGACAAATGTTACCTCTAGTAACAATAACAGACAAATGTTACCTTCAGTAACAATGACAGACAAATGTTACCTCTAGTAACAATGACAGACAAATGTTACCCATTAGTAGCAATGACAGATACATGTAACCCTTAAAAAACAATGATAGACTAATGTTACGTTTAGAAACAATAACAGATACATGTTACCCTCAAAAACAATGATAGACAAATGTTACCCACAAAAACAACGATAGGCGAATGTTACCTTTAGTAACAATGACAGATACATGTTACCCTCAAAAACAATGATAGACAAATGTTATCTTCAAAAACAATGATAGGCAAATGTTACCCTTTAGTAACAATGACAGATACATGTTACCCTCAAAAACAATGACGGGCAAATGTTCCCCTTTACTAACAATGACAGATACATGATATCCTTAAAAACAATGATAGACTAATGTTACGTTTAGAAACAATAACAGATACATGTTACCCTCAAAAACAATGACGGGCAAATGTTCCCCTTTAGTAACAATGACAGATACATGTTATCCTTAAAAACCATGATAGACTAATGTTACCCTCAAAAACAATGACAGGCAAATGTTACCCTTTAGTAACAATGACAGATACATGTTGCCCTCAAAAACAATGACAGGCAAATGTTCCCCTTTAGTAACAATGACAGATACATGTTACCCTTAAAAACTATGATAGACTTATGTTCCCTTTTAGTTACAATGACATACATGTTACCCTTAAAATAATGATAGACAAATGTTACCCTTAAAAACAATGATAGACTAATTTCATCCCTTTAATAACAATGAAAGATACATGTTACCCTTAAAAACAATGATAGACTGATATTACCCTTTAGTAACAAGGTTAAGACTAATGTTCCCCTTTAGTAACAATGACAGATAAATATTCGTCTTAAAAACTATGATAGACTTATGTTCCCTTTCAGTTACAATGACAGATAAATAATACCCTTAAAAACTATGATAGACTTATGTTCCCTTTTAGTTACAATGACATACATGTTACCCTTAAAACAATGATAGACAAATGTTACCCTTAAAAACAATGATAGACTAATGTTATCCCTTTAATAACAATGAAAGATACATGTTACTCTTAAAAACAATGATAGACTGATATTACCCTTTAGTAACAAGGTTAAGACTAATGTTCCCCTTTAGTAACAATGACAGTTAAATATTACTCTTAAAAACAATGACAGGCAAATGTTACCCTTTAGTAACAATGACAGATAAATGTTACCCTTTAAAAAAATGATAAGACTAATGTTATCCCTTTAATAACAATGACAGATACATGTTACCCTTAAAAACAATGATAGACTAATGTTATCCCTTTAATAACAATGACAGATACATGTTACCCTTAAAAACAATGATTGACTGATGTTACACTTTAGTAACAATGACAGATACATGTTACCCTCAAAAACAATGATAGACAAATGTTACCCTCAAAAACAATGATAGACTGATGTTCCCCTTTAGTAACAATGACAGATACATGTTACCCTTAAAAACAATGATAGACTGATGTTACCCTTTAGAAACAATGACAGATACATGTAACCCTTAAATACAATGATAGACTGATGTTCCCCTTTAGCAACAATGACAGATACATGTTACCCTTAAAACAATGATAGACTTATGTTCCCCTTTAGTAACAATGACAGATAAATGTTACCCTTAAAACAATGATAGACTGATGTTCCCCTTTAGCAACAATGACAGATACATGTTACTCTTAAAACAATGATAGACTGATGTTACCCTTTAGAAACAATGACAGATACATGTAACCCTTAAATACAATGATAGACTCATGTTCTCTTTTAGTAACAAAGACAGATACATGTTACCCTTAAAACAATGATAGACTGATGTTACCCTTTAATAACAATGATAGACTGATGTTACCCTTTTATAACAATGATAGACTGATGTTACCCTTTAGTAACAAGGTTAGACTAATGTTCCTCTTTAATAACAATGACAGATAGATATTACTCTTAAAAACAATGACAGGCAAATGTTACCCTTTAGTAACAATGACAGATAAATGTTACCCTTTAAAACAATGATAGACTTATGTTCCCTTTTAGTTACAATGACATACATGTTACCCTTTAAAACAATGATAGACAAAAGTTACCCTTTAAAAACAATAGAAGACTAATGTTATCCCTTTGATAACAATGACAGATACATGTTACCCTTAAAAACAATGATAGACTGATGTTCCCCTTTACTAACAATGACAGATAAATGTTATCCTTAAAAACAATGATAGACTTATGTTACCCTTTAGTAACAATAACAGATACATTTACCCTCAAAAACAATGATAGACAAATTAATGTTACCCTTTAAAAAAATGACAGACAAATGTTACCTTTAGTAACAATGACAGACAAATGTTACCTCTAGTAACAATGATAGACAAATGTTACCCGTTAGTAGCAATGACAGATACATGTTACCTTAAAAACAATGATAGATGAATGTTACCCTTTAGTAACAAGGTTAGACAAATGTTACTCTAGAAAAAGTGCATGTAGCAATAGGCCAACACATGTAACACTTTTCAAACATTGAAGAAGTCTTCAGAAGAAATTATCAGATTGATTAAAATAATAGTATAATCTAGATCTGAAGGCGACTTGATGTGAATACAGAACAAAGGATTATGATTAGAGCAAGATGTTTGGAGACCCAGCATAAGAGAGGATGATTAGAGGAAGCAGGAAGATTATTGGAGAGAAGCTAGTGGCAATATGGTAAGACAGTGATGTAGACAGACATTGAGAAGGTCATTGGTGTAGACAGACATTGAGAAGGACATTGGTGTAGACAGACATTTATAAGGACATTGGTGTAGACAGACATTTATAAGGACATTGGTGTAGACGTACATTTATAAGGACATTGGTGTAGACAGACATTTATAAGGACATTGGTGTAGACAGACATTTATAAGGACATTGGTGTAGACAGACATTTATAAGGACATTGGTGTAGACAGACATTTATAAGGACATTGGTGTAGACAGACATTTATAAGGACATTGGTGTAGACAGACATTTATAAGGACATTGGTGTAGACAGACATTTATAAGGACATTGGTGTAGACAGACATTTATAAGGACATTGGTGTAGACAGACATTTATAAGGACATTGGTGTAGACAGACATTTATAAGGACATTGGTGTAGACAGACATTTATAAGGACATTGGTGTAGACAGACATTTATAAGGACATTGGTGTAGACAGACATTTATAAGGACATTGGTGTAGACAGACATTTATAAGGACATTGGTGTAGACAGACATTTATAAGGACATTGGTGTAGACAGACATTTATAAGGACATTGGTGTAGACAGACATTTATAAGGACATTGGTGTAGACAGACATTTATAAGGACATTGGTGTAGACAGACATTTATAAGGACATTGGTGTAGACAGACATTTATAAGGACATTGGTGTAGACAGACATTTATAAGGACATTGGTGTAGACAGACATTTATAAGGACATTGGTGTAGACAGACATTTATAAGGACATTGGTGTAGACAGACATTTATAAGGACATTGGTGTAGACAGACATTTATAAGGACATTGGTGTAGACAGACATTTATAAGGACATTGGTGTAGACAGACATTTATAAGGACATTGGTGTAGACAGACATTTATAAGGACATTGGTGTAGACAGACATTTATAAGGACATTGGTGTAGACAGACATTTATAAGGACATTGGTGTAGACAGACATTTATAAGGACATTGGTGTAGACAGACATTTATAAGGACATTGGTGTAGACAGACATTTATAAGGACATTGGTGTAGACAGACATTTATAAGGACATTGGTGTAGACAGACATTTAT